AAAAGAATATTAAAAGGTAATCAGTTAAAACAGGGTAAAAATTCAAGTTCTACTGCCAGGGAACTCTGTGATCTGGTAAAAAATACTTAACCACTCAGTCTCAGTTCTCTAATCTCTAAATGGTTATAATAGGACCAACCTCTTAGAATAGAGATTTTATAAGGTTATACATATAAGGAATATAAAACATTATTTGACATAGACACTTTGTTCAATGAAATTACTTCTTGCTGGCTACTGTGCTCTCGATGTTGGTTTTATTCTTGTATTTTCATTCTTTCTGAAGGTAGAAAAGAAGAAATGCTACAAGGACCTGCTATTTATTTACTGTTAACTAGATTAATATCGATATCTTTTATATGCATTATTAAAGAAATTATGTACTTTAATCAACAGGCAATTTCTCTATACCAATAATAGGGATGAATGAAAAAATTTGGCTATGGGGAGAAAATTAAAAGATGGTTGGAATTACAGATTCCATAATTTTTTAAAACTTGAATGAAAAATAAGAACACAGCATCTTTCTTTTTTCTCAAATACAATTTCATTAAGAATACCTATCCTTGCTACGTTGAAGCAATGATGCTGTGACCTTGGATTAACTCTCTTTAGAAAACAGTTATGGTGTTTTAGAACATGGATTTGAAGGCAGATGAGTTTGTGTTACAACCCCCAAATCTTTATCTTACTAGGTGTGTAAACTTGGACAAGTCCTTTAATGGCTCCAAACATCAGGCTTGTATTTTATAAAATGGAAATAGGCTAGCTTGTCTTGAGAATAAAATATTATGACATTATGTTGCAAGGTCACACATTTTTCACACTGCTCTCAGATACATGAAGGAAACATAGCTTCCTCATAGCCTATTGGTCTCAGTTTTCTCTGAACATATTTTACCCCTTTGAGTAAAAAATAAAAAGCAATATTAGCATAATATAATAAGCCTAATATCACCAAATAATTTAAACCCTTTTTTTTTTTTAAGATAACTACATTTCTTTCGGAAGAATCACCCTTTCATATTTTCTCCCTTTCTCCTTTCTTTCCAAAACAGGATGTAAGAACGGGAAGGTGGGAACTGATGCTGCCTTATGGCACTGAGTGGTTGAAGGGTCCATGCCTTGCGTGTATAGCATGTAGAAGAAAGTTTTCCACTTACAGTAGTGTTTGTCTACAACATATCAAAACTGTTACGTTTCATGCCAACTAGCTCTCACCTCCTGAAATTGATAAGAAACTATGAAGTCTGAGTAATTCTGGGATCTTAGAACTTCTTGAGCCAGACTAAAATACCTTCACCATCATCAACATCCAGGCTTGTTTTACACAACTAGAAGTCCAGTCATGGACTCAATCCTTCCCATCTGTAGGTTAAAATAGTAGTAAATGGAACCACCATGGACTCCCTCTCCTTCTAGAAAGGAGTTTACAAACTCCCAATATTTCCCCTCAGTAAATTGTGCAGTAAATTTCTCCACTAATGTATGTTTCAGTTTTTTTACCACGTTGGTATCTTCCAAGGTGAAGATATCACCTTATTTAGTATCATCTCTGAATCTTCTTATAGTGTTTATTGAGAAACTCTGCACGTGGGGAACTTTGGAGCTGTTTTCCCTCAATAGCATCAGGAAGTGGTGGTCTTTTCTAACGATTTGGCCCCATCAAGGCGCTGAGGCTTGCTGCAGACTCCATTTCCTTTCCTGGAATGGTACCAGTTCTGCTTTCCAGCTGTTACACAGCGTCCCTTTATTTGAAGCCCTGGTGATAAGCCAGCAAAGGTCCCTGTCAGATCCTGAGTTAAGTTGTACATCCCTCCCCAGCAGCCAGTGCAACATCTTAGCCATTCCATGCCACAAAGGAGCTGACATGGTCAAAGGAGCACCTTCTATTAACCTATCCTGTAAAAGCCTTTAAAGGAAGCAGGTCAAAAGCTCATCTTCCCTCAGGATTTTACGTAACATTTCTAATATAAAGAGAAAATAAGCTGTGACACATATTTTCTACTTCGACTACCCTTCTCCCCTCATTCTTCCCACAATCACCTTGATGTGATTAGTTTTTTTTTTTTTTAATATAGTTCATTTCCTGTCAGAGATTGCTTGTAAGTCTTCTAGGCTATCTAATAATTTACCCACCTTTATGACTATTCCTAAAGGATAAGTGAAATATGTGTAGCTAAATTAGCTTGATAACAATAATATAAATGGGGATGCATATAGAAAATTAGGCTTATTCTATGTGTGAAATATCTGGTATACAGTAATTACTTCAAATGTGGTTATTATGCTGCCTAGAAATATAGCTTATAACATGGCCAAATGTCAAGTAATGGCTTCTTGATCTCAGATTATAGTCAAGAACGTAGTTAACTACATCTGACTATGAAAGGTATCTAGATTATTTGTCAAATTTTATGGAATTCTGTGAAGTGATAGGTAGGAATGGGAAGCAATAGAGCAGAGCTTGAGGATAAGGATTCATCATTTTTATTAATAAATCTGGGAAGTCAGATCTACTATAATATAAAGGAAAATTTCTGCAGAAAGCTTTTCTTTATGAAACTTACTCCTTCAAATTGCAAACCTCAGTGCATTATGTGGTTTGTAACAAGGGCCAAATGGTACAAACAACTGATTCTAGACCTTAAAGGAGCGACTCTCTAATTGCTAGTGCTTTAGTACAAAAACTACCACGCATTAATATCTTATCTGTGTTAGAACCACAAATGAGTCAATATGTAGTGCCATTATGTATCTGTCATACTGTTTTAAACGGAGTTTAGCTAGTCTGCAGATTTGTACTGACTGTAAATCATAGCTATTCCTGCCAAGCCAAACCATATACCAGCATAATTATTCTAGGAATTGGGTATTTGTCCTTTGCCTCACAGACATAAGTATTATTATTTTAATTAAGTAATCTAACCATTATATTAATCAATTTCCAGATAGCTGTTCTTTCTCAAAACTCAAATATTTTACATTTATGAAATTCAAAGAGCTATCCAATTATAATTGTGATTATTTTCTTATATGTTACACATTTCACTATCAGTACTTTTAGAATGTTCCCCCTGAAGATTCCTGAACACTACTGGATTCTCACTCATCATGATAAATTAATTATTGTATCTAGTCTCCTGGATCCAGCCTTTCTATAAAAACTTTCTCTAGATTTGGCTAGTGCTGTTAAGTTTTTCTGTAAATCTCGATGTGTACCTCTATCTTTACCATTAGCACATTGTGTTATCCGTCTACTCTTTACTCCATGAGACTGAGATTTCCTTCCTTGTTTTTCCTTTTATATAGTAGATATGTATTCCTTCAATTACAAGTTCTACCTGTCTTATTAAAAAGTGACTTGCCTTTTTCCAGTCTTTCTAAGACTATCCATAAGCCAAATTACTTTTTCTCTCATCCAAAAAACCTGAGTGAAATTTAAACTGAAAGAGTGAGACAATGATAAAAATAATAGATAGACCACTAGGTCTGGGTCAAAGTAATGTGCCATTGAATTAGGTTGAATTATTCAGTAATGTGGCAGAGGATACTCTCCGAACTGTCCAAGTGAAGATATGGATCACTGACTGGAAAATATCTATAATGCATTTTCTTGAAGCACAGTTTGTTCTCATACATTGCCACTTGTCTGCCAATTTTTTAGCCCCTTTACCTTCCAACTTTAGTTTCCAGAGCTAATTTAATCCCATTAGCTCACTTTGCCTTCAGACCTCAGCATGTGAAAATCTTTTGGGAAATCCTCTAAAGTGGAGATCATCTAGCTGAGAAAATTAAAACAGTCTGAGTAGAGATGCTGATTTTAAGCTACTAATCAATAAATTTGACTTCATATTTTGATTTATCAAATTCCAAGAGATAATTTTCTGTATTATCCCAGAAAGTCATTGTTGATAGACGGTAAAGCATATAGGGTGTGGAATCAGACAGATTTGAGCTTGAACCCTGAATTCATACTACTATTCTTTCCAGGAACATTCTTTTACATCTCTGAGCCTCAGTTTCTTATCTGTAATGTGGAAATGACAATCTCCAAAGGATTGCTGTGCCATGCGAATTTGTGACTCTCTGAAGTGTTTAGCACAATGTCTGTCACATGGACATGATAGACAGAATGATAATTCTTTCCACTTCCCTCACAACTTTCCACTCTGATCACCCCATTTCTTAGATATAAATCCTACCACTAACCCTGTAGATTGCCAGTGTTTCCTGGTTTCCAGGAGGTCACAGCCATACAGGCAATTATTAGAAAACAGGTAACCAGTGCTCTTAAGAGTCTGTAAAGCAACTTTGATTTATTTAAGTAACACAGAATATTTTTTATTCAAAGGGCCACTTAAGAAATAGCATATTTGGCCATCTTCCATGTAGGTGGCCTGAGCAGGACGCCCATGATAACTGTTATGTTCTTATATGTTACATACTTCATCATCAGTATTTAGAATGCAATTGTTAAAGGACCTCAACATTATCGGTTGCGTCACTCTATATTCCTCAACTATTGTTTCTAGTATGTGACTTCACACTATCTATAGGAAGAATGCTTTAAAAAGATTACAAATCATGTTTAGAGGAATTATCCTAAAGACAAATGTAGCCTGAAATTTCTGAGGAATTATAAATTACTGTATATTAAAATTACCAATTATTATTCTAGATAAATGCTCATTCTTTTATTCTCAACAATACTGCCCCCAGTAGGGACTACAACCCCCAAGCAACTCAATATTCTTGGCTTTTCTTAACTCCAATGTAAAAGTAGAGTTTGAGTTAAGCAATGTCTAAGGTTCTATAGGATCATTTCCATAACCCATCTCTGGTGACACGTATCTCTGAAGGTCAGGCAGGGGTTAGGAGTCTCCTGAGGATGCAAGTCAGGGAAAGGGCTAAAGAAACACTTTTTCTGAGACATCTCCCTGAGAAGAACTCTGCTTGTGTGAGCTCAAGGCTCTTCTATCTCTTGGTGTTCTACACTCAGAACTCAGGTATGGGCTCCCCATCTAGCAGTTCCCTCTCTGTAGGATAAAAGCTAGGAGTCAGTAAACAACTGAAGATCCTTAAAAAAAATGAGACTGCCTGATAGTGGGATGGAAACAGAGGAAAGCTGGAGTCTGACTATCCAGGACAAGGCTCTCATTCCTGGATTTTTGAAGGAAAAGGAACGAAGTGAACTAGTTGCCAGGACAACCTGCTGTTGGGGAGCAGGGGGTGGGGAAAGAAATGGGTGACCTGCGGTTATTCCTGCTCCTGCCCCTGTCCCTGGCAGCCTTCCATGGAGCCAAAGGCTGTTTGGAATGTGACCCCAAGTTCATAGAGGATATTGGCTCCTTGCTGGCAAATCTGATACCTTCAGAAGTCCCTGGCCAAACTCAGCTACTTGAACGACAGGTTCAGGAGATGATTCGTTTAACCTTCAAGGTCTCCCACAGCGATAAGATGCTTCGATTGCTGGGTGAGGGAAGCTTGAGTTTCTGAGAGTCTGGGGGCTTAAAGGGAGAAGGGAGGCAAGGAAGAGAACACCTGGGTCCACGTAACTTCCTAGAGAGAGATAATTATTCCCCTGCATGTACCTTCCCCTCACTCTCTAGCTGTTCAAACGGTCATTAAGTTGAGAACATGGCTGAAGAATGAATTTTATAAACTGGGCAATGAAACATGGAAAGGTGAGGTGCTGTTTCAATGTTAAAAGTTTGTATTGCTCAAGCGAGCCTGAGAAAATTTGGTTGGGAAAACAAAGAAAAAAGCAGAACAAAACAAGTTTGAAGGGAAGAGCTACTTCTACTTTTGACACCCCTTCCACTCCCTCTTAGGTGTCTTTATCTTCCAAGGCAAGCTTCTTGAGGTCCGCCAAAGCCTGGAAGCCAAACTGAAAGAATTATTAAAGAACTTTTCCGAAGTTGGTAATTAAACCTTTCTGTGTAACAGCACTGAAGTTATATAAAAGGAATAGAAAATGAAGGATGAGAGGAGAAAGGCAGGTTCATAATAGAGTTATTTAGAAAGGGTGGGGAGGTAACTGAAACTTAAAGGGTAAACAAAGGCTACTTAGGTATAAATATGGCTAAATCTGGCTGGTTTAAAACTCATTAAAACTTTCTGATTCTCTTCCAGCTTGTTCTGAAGATTGCAGTGAGTAAAGTACATGTGACACCTTGAGGTTTCAGCCCATGTTTTCCCATCTCCTTTGCTCTATACAGCCCTATCTCTTCCACCTGTTACACTGGAAATCCAATTCCTAGAGCTGTGGTTACAAGGGGTAATGTCAATAACACCTGTTAACAAAATTTAGCTCATGAAATCTGACACTCCACATATTTTGGAGGTAATACAAGGCCTTCTAACATATAGTTTACAACCCATTGCCCCAGTACAAGCCAAGGCTTCCTTTTTTTTTCTGGAGACCTGACTTACAGATTTTGACCCACCAAGATTCTTGATTTCTAGGGGGAGAAGGAATTCACAGCAATGCGCTTAAGAGTCCTGGGAGTGCTTAAGATCAAATACTCCACACCTAAAGTCTGATTAAGGAACCCTCACGCCATGCCTTTTTTCCTGATTACCTTTCTTCTCCTCTGTATCAGTTGTGGTTGAAGGTCCCATCCTTGATTGCTGGACCTGTCTTCGCATGACTAGCAGATGCTTCAAAGGAGAATATTGTGGAGGTAACAAAGATTGTGGTATGGAAGTTCGAAGGGCCAGGGATCAAGGAACAGGGTTGCTCACTGATTTATTCAACATATATTTGTTGAGCATCTTCAATGCAGGTCATAATGTTACAAAATAGAACGAGAGCGTTGGGTGAAACTGTGACCAGTATAAATACTTTGGCACTGAATCAATAGAAGGCTGAGAAATGAAAAGGCTGGGCTTGGAATGAAGAAATTAGGCTGGGAGTAGCAAGGACAAAAGGTTTGTAGAACCTAAGAATCTAAAAGTAATAAAGGTCAGAATAACCAAGGGACAGTGATGAAGTAGGAAACAGGTCAAACTGTTTGAGGTTAAAAGACTTTTCTATTCAGAATAAAGGTCCCGAGGTAGTTCTCTTCTCCAAAACTCACTTTCATATTTTCCTGTTTCTCCTTCCAGACGAGGATCCAAGGAAGGCTGAGAGTCGAGACATTGCTCTATTTCTCATATTGCTGGCAACAGCTGTAATACTGGGAAGTGCTGTGTTACTGTGAGTTTCCTCTCTCCACATAACACTGGGTCAAGTGTTCCTTTTGCTAAGAGACTACCCAAATTGCCTCTTCCCCCAATGGAAATGAGGCAAAAGAAGTCATTTTAGATTCTGGGATTGATATTGACAGAAATAAAACACAAAGTTTGATAGGATAACAGTTGGAACAAATGGAAATGGAGAAGTATTCAGCAAAGAGAAAAATAGTGTATGACTGGCTTAAAGAATGGGGCTACTGATATTGAAGTTGGGATTATTTTCTTTTCCTACGCTAGATTCTATTTTTGCATCTTTCATCGAAGGAAAATGAAGGCAATACGAAGGTCACTAAATGAATATTTGGAGAACAAACTTGAAGAATTAATGGAGAGGATAGATGAGGAGGAGAAAGATTTTAGACCCAGAAAATAAACACATCGACATGAACAAGAGGTCTTTCATGATTCTCTTAAGTACTGACCCTAAGTACAAAACTGGGAGTTAAACCCTTTCCTGGTCACAAAGTCATAGTATTTTAAAACTGAAATAGAACTGAGAGTTTCTCTAGTGAAGATCTTTATAGATATCCTGAGACAATGGAAGTACTGAGAGAGCAAATGATTTAGCCAGAGTTGTGCAGAAAGTAATGCTGGTGTGAATGCACATGAAAGATAAAATAGTGAGTAATAAAGAATGTACCATTAATAACTCTCATTAATGGCTGTAACTAGGATAACCTTCACATTTCTAAGTCTGCTTTTTACTTGTTTTGTTACTGTTTTCATATTTATCATTAGGTTCAATGTGGACAATTTTATTTGATAATATACAGCATTTCATCTTCATTGTATTACACACACACACACACACACACACACACACACTTGCACGTAGGAAAAAAAAGGAACAAAGTATTAGTTCTGAGTAGCTGAGGTTTGCCACAACTATTTCCCCATGGATCTATGTTGTTTTTTTTTATTATTCTGGTTGTTTCCACTGAATACTTTTTTAGTATGTGTAGCACCCTAAATAGTGCTTTACATGTATTATCTATCTAAATTCTCACAATAGTCCTACAGGTAACATTGCTATTATTTCTACTTTAGGGATGAGTAAACAGAAGTATCTCCATCTAGGCTATGACAAACTCCTCTCCTCTAGTGGCTGACCTTTGATCACCCAAACCATTTGAATAGTATTGACAGCTGTCGGCATATAGTTATGATACATAAATGGAGAGATCATAACCATGGCTTTGTCTTTATACACTCTTGATTATATAGTATGTGGCAAAGCCTAAAATAAAGCTGATGCCTGGTTAACTGTAAAATTCATGACCTTTCACCCTATTTTGTTTCCTTTTATTCTGGAACTTATTTTAGAAAATAAATAAACACCATCATTTAACAGCAGGAAATAGTTACAGGAGTCCTGCTTCAGGGGTGGGTATAGGTATTTGTAAATCTTTCACACATAGTACATATCTGAGCGGTAGCATATGGTTGCTCTTATATTAATGAGATAATGGATGAGAATGCACTTGATGAGGACCTGAAGTCCGATATCTCTCAAGTGCTAAATTTGAAATTCACGTAAAATTCCCAGATAAGACTGTTGTCAGGCATCTACTATTGCCCAATGATTTAATGTTTATCTCATGAAATATCCTGTTTGATATATATTAACTTCATTCACAGTCTTAATTATTGTCTTTATATTTTCATTATAATTGTTTGTAAGTAGAATAACATACTTTCTAGATTTTGTTTAAGATATTTTTGTGTTGTGGATTCTTATTTATATACTTTTATGTTTTTTATTTTACTACTTTGTTTTACATAAAGTTTATTGTATATACTTAAGGTATTAATGTATTTGCTTGTTGTTCCTTTTCCCCTATGCTGCTACTCCATGCTCATCACTCCTTCCTAGGAAACCTCGGATAACAATTTAAGATAGGTCTTTCAGGTTTTGAGTTCAAGCCTAAATAGTTACAAGTAAATAGACATACATACACATGAACACCATTATGGATAAATTTTTTTTGCAATTAAAAACATTATAAACACTTTTTCACATGTTGATTTTCATACTTAAGTACTGTGCGGAAATTATTTTAAGTGATGTAATTCTAATTCACTCTTTTGGCCGTTATATACAACACCATAGTGTGGGGGCACTAATACTTTTATTTATAAGGAATAATGTTACAGAACTGGGATATCAAAATGATATATGTACCTACAAATATGATGAACCAACTTTTCATGTTTGCCACATCCCGGTCACCAACAGGTAATAAAGCTTTTACATTTTACAGTCTAATATGATAATTAATTTACTTATATCCTCTAGTGTGTCAGCATCTTTATATATGATTCAGTAACATTTGAATTAGCCCTAAAGTGAGTTACCTAGTCATATACTCTGCTAATTTTAATCTGAGAATTTTTTCTGTCAATTTAAAAGATGTTCTTCCATAACACAGACATTAACTCTAGCATCTCTTTTTGCAAATGTATTTTTCCTCAAATCTATCATTTGTCAGTTGACTATTTAAGGTGTTGTTTTAGCTATCTATATATCTAACCACTCTAGGTCTGTTTTACCCATATCACATAAAATAAAAGCCCATTTATTTTTGCATATTCACTCTATAACCAGCTACTTAATAAATTTGTTTCTTAAAGTCTCTTGAATTTTCTAGATACTCAGTCATATTTCTATCCCAAACAAATGTTTTCTGTTTTCTTTTCTATTAGTACCAATCATTTTGCTTTTTAATTCTAGTTCATTTGTAAGAATTTTAAGTCAGTCCTGAATAAGTTATTATTTTAAAAAGAATGACAACTCAATTATTGCATAACTGTAAGTCTATAAATAGTAGCTACAGAGAAAGTTAAAACATGAAGTGACTCTTAAGCAAACCGTAAATTATTATTTTGGGATTATTTCATAAAAACCTGAAATTGTATTTGAACACCCATTTACTCTGTTGAGGTTAAAAAATTCTAGTCCTATGGGGAAGAATTCCAACATGCAAGTGTCTTTATAAAATATCACTGCCTTGAGAAGGTTGAATCTTAAAATCCTTCATGAACTGGTTATATTTCATAATAAGTTAGGTCGATCCTTATCAGTAATATGATTTGTCTTCTTGGTCTCAGAATATATAAAACATTGTCCAGAAACCAGAAAAAGAAATATCTTAGAAAATAAAGAAGAAGCACCTAGGAAACTGTCACAAGGAAGAAATAATTTCTCTCCCTCAAGCTTGCTCAGCTCTGTTAATAATCTCATTATCTCTCTCTGTGACATATGATTTTATGTAAGAGAAAAAGAAAAAGAAGCAAAACTACACAAATAAAACAAACATTAATATTATGATTCAATATTGACTATAAAATCAAACAAATTTTGTGTCAAAAAATTCGGGGGAAATAAGTACATGCTTTAAGAAAAGGGAACTAAAAGCAGATGAAGGATAAGGGAGTTTAGACAAAAGCAACAGATGCCAAGGTCCTTGTCACGCATACACACACATGCATACATAAGATACTTTTATTCTTTGTTATGAAATATTGGAGTGTGACTCTTAAGGGTTGAAAATACCATACATGACATTCACAATTTCAAAGAGAAAAAGGGGATAAATCCTATTGATTCAATAAAAGTAAGTAAGAAGAAAATAAAGAACAGGGCAAAAGAAAATACAATAAGCATAATAAATATGTAAATGAAGTAAATACATCAATCAGAAGATCAACTATTAGATATTTTTAAATCTAATCACAGGCTACTTGTAAGATAGCAACCTAAAACAACATGAGAAGCTAAATGTGAAATTAAAGAAAACCTAACCAAAATAAAGCAGGTATTTTATTATTGACATTAGTCAGAAGAGAATTTAAGCCAAAGAACATTAACAAGAATAATGTGATACTAGAATATGAAATTATATGAGCCTAACAATATAGTCTTCTGATTTTAAAAACGGAAAAAGATTTTCATAATCATGATGGGAAAGTGTAGTCCTCTCCTTTAGAATCTGATAAATCTAACAAACAAACTGTTAATAAGGCTGTAATTTGTAGAACACAATGAACAACTTTAAATGGCATGATGCATTAAATGCCATACTCAACTAGTAAATAGATTTTTCTTTTTTCTAGTACAGAAGGAACATACACAAAAATTAACAATATATATGGCTTGAAAGACATCAGTTGGTTTTCTCCTAACTACATCCCTCTCCTCTTGGACACATGGTTAAACTGCATTTCCCTGTCATCCCTACTGTTAGATGGTCTATGAAGCTGAATTCTGGCAAATGGAATGTTGGTGCAAGTGTATTAAATGTTTTCAGGAGCATCTAAACTTAAGGGTCAATCCTCCAGCCTCTTTCTTCCCTGATTAGTGGTTGGATGCCAATATACAGGAATATCTTAGAATCCTGAAGATGAAGATGCCTCTTAGTTGGAGCATTTGTTTTAGATTTCACATGAGTGAAAGATATTTATTTGATTAAGCTTCTGATATTTTTAGAACTAGAATTAACTTATCTAATACATAGGCCAAAAAGGAAATTGTAATAAATTCCAAAGAATATTATAAAGAACAGTCATTCAGACTATGAGCAACAAAATTAAAACCACAGAGAATATTCCCTTATTTCATATATTGGAAACTGAAAAATCCTATCTCTAAATGAATTAAAAATGAATCTATAAGCAAATTATAAAATACTACTAAACAACAATAAAAATATTACCTATCAAATCGTCAATGTGCTTACCAAGCATTTAACAATATCGCATTCTAATGACAGGTATCAAAAAGATTTTAAAATGTATATTTACATATGTATATATATTGAACAGGGTATTCAAATTAAGCAGATAGAAGGGCTGGGCACAGAGGCTTACGCCTGTAATCCCAGCACTTCGGGAGGCCAAGGTGGGTGGATCACTTGAGGTCAGGAGGTTGAGACCAGCCTGACCAACACGGTGAAACCCCATCTATACTAAAAGTACAAAATTAGTTGGGTGTGGTGGTGCACACCTATAGTTCCAGCTACTCAGGAGGCTGAGGCAGGATAATTTCTTGAACCCAGGAGGAGGAGGCTACAGTGAGCCAAGATCATGCCATTCTACACCAGCCTGGGCAACAAGAGTGAAACTCTATCTTGGAAAAAAAAAAAAAAAGTAAGCAGACAGTGAAAGAGCAAACTAACTAAACTCAAAGAATATACAAAGGGTGAACATTATATCAAAAATGAAATATAAAGCAGAAAAAGGTAACACAAAATGCTAATAAAAAATTTTCACCCACACTGAAAAAAAATTTTTTAATAAAAATATATTTCATAAAATAGAAATTTAAAAGTAGCAAAACTTTATATTTGTTTTTATATCTTAAGAGACTCTTTTAAACTAAATTGCAAAAGTATTTAAAACTTGGCTCAAAGGGCTATTTAAAATAGAAGTATAAATTACCAGTATTGACATTGGAAGAAAAAAGAACCACCCCCACCCAAAATATCAATATTCCTTAAATAAATTTAAAACACAGGGGCTTACACCTGCAGTCCTAGCATTTTGGGAGGCTGAGAATAAAGGATTGCTTGAGACCAGGAGTTTAAGACCAGCAAAGGCAATATAGTGAGACCCTGTACCTACAAAAATCAACAAAT